GATAATGCCTGGTCCAGCTCTTCCATATCCTGCTCAAAGGATGCGTGCACCACCAGCTGCGCCCTGCCCCCAGTGTCTTCACCCAGGGGCTCTTCTGCTTCCAACAGGGAGAGGGCCAGGGCTTGCCTTAGTGCCGTAGCCTCCTGCTGCTCAGCCACCTGGCCTTGAGACTCAAAGGATCGGTGGATAGCCAGCTGCAGTGTGGCCTCTTCTTCTAACAGTCCGGGTATTCCAGTGTTGAGGGCCACAGGCTCCTCCCCAGCCTTGGGTGTGGGGTTTTCCTCCTCCTGCTCAAGGGTGATTTCTTCTGGCTGCCCTCCAGATTTCTCCTCCATCTCCAGCGGTGGCCAGTCCTCCCCATGTAGCCCCTCCAGGGTGGCCAGCAGCTCTTGAACTTCCTCTAAGGGCAGAAAGAGGCCACTGGGTCAGGGGTCAGGTCCAGCCAGGGGGCTGATGAGTTGGAATGGATAAGACATGAAGATTGTATCTGTGGGTGCAGAGCAGACCACCAAAGGGTCACTAAACAAGTGATAGGGTAGAGCATGGAGAGGGTGATGGAGAAGACACCCCAGGACACCCCAGGGCCCCTGGGGAGCCTACCCACTCTCATGCTGTCCTCATCGCTGCCTGTGCTGTGGCCATGGGGGACCTGAAGGGCCTCAGTGGGATCCATCTGTGGGAAGAGGATGACAGAGTCACCGCAGAGGGGGTGTCTAGGTCTGGGGTGTGAGAAAAAGGACAGAACCCCATCTTACCCTTTCAGAATCCACGTTCAGGGTGGCACTGGCCAGATGCTCTGTCCCAAAGACACACTGGAACTGAGCCTCCAGTCCATGAAGGAGGTGCTGCCCCTCCACACCCAGCAGGAACCTGGCACTGCCTGGGTGCTTCAAGGTCAGTGTGTGGCAGCTAATGCTTCCCAAAAGACTCTGCAGCAACTCCTGGGCTGCCTGGCACGGGGCCGTAGGTCCGCAAAGCTGTGACACACAGAGACAGTTTACAGGTTCAGAGCACAGGGAAGGTACCCAGACGGACCCCAGTAAGAGAAGAGGCAAAGTGAGGAGACTCTGAGGGGTGCTCACCCGAAAGCCAGTCACATCTACTCCTTCAAGTGGGAAAAGGGCAACATCTTCCAGGCTGGCAAGGAGCTCCTCATGATAGAGCTGCAGGAAGCGCATGGCCCCTGGATCCATGGATATCACTGTCTCCACCAGGCCCCCTTGCCTCTGCAGCTCCCCATGCCCAGGGTCTTCCAGCTCTCTCTCTGGAGACTCTGTGGCCATCCCCACCTGACCCATTAGCCCCTCCTGCCCTGACGAGCCTGTGGCAACTCCAGCCAGGCCCTCCTGCCTCTGAGCTCCCATAGAGGATGAGGCCATAGATCCTCCTTGCCCTGAGGACCCTGTAAAGGTTTCTGCAGGACCTACTGGGCTTGCAGACCCCATGGTCCCCTCACTCATGAAACCAGCCTGCTCTGGAGAGGCCACAGTGCCCAGGTTTATAGGCTCCTCTTGCTCCAGAGACCTCACAGGCCCCAAATCAACTGGCATGGCTTGTCCTGGGGCCCCCACAGGACCTGTCCTTAGAGAGGCTCCTAATTGTCCTGAGGCCTCCCCAGAGCTCACAGTCGTAGTCAGGGCCCCTGCCGGCACTACAGTATCTAGGAGAGCATGCTCAACAGCTCCTGATTCCGGCATGGCTGGGTGACCCCCTTCACTGGTGCCCTCAGCAAGCTGCTCTGGCTCCAGCACATCATAGTGGGGGACAAGGCTCAACTCGGAGCCCTGAAGCCAGTGTTTCCGCTGCAGCACCCGTTCAGCCACTGAAAAAGAGAGAAGAAAGCAAGCCCGTTAGGTGTCTGGCATAGAGAAAGGGTCCTGCTAATTTCATTCCATTTTCTCACCTTGCCAGTGCTGAAAGGTGATAACGGTGCCCAGTTGCCCGGGCAGGCTGCGCATGCCCTCCAAGGGTCCGCCACCACTGCGACGCTCATTCTCCAGGTAGAGTTCCAGGAGCAACAGGTCCACCGGGACAGCACTATCCACCACACGTACTGCTCGGGTCTGGGGCACCCAGGCCAAGGACACTGTGACCCCATTCAGAGGTAGATTCCGGGCCTGCTCCTTCAGGGCGCAGACCTCTACAGGAAGTATGGAAGTCAACTCAGGCACCTTCCTTAACTAGAAGCCATTCCCCACCCTGCCTCTCACCTGCTTCCTACCTGCCTCAGAGAGGGGCGTGGACAACTGAACCAGGGCACAGTCCTGCCGAGGACTGGCCAGGGCCTGGCACGCCTGCACGGGGAGTCCCATGGCGCACAGCAGAGCCTGGACATGCTGCTCCAGGCTCAGAGGCGGAGTGTCAGGAGGCAGTTGTTGGAGAAGCACACGTTCGGGGGCACGGGGTGGGGCTGGCCTCAGGTTCAGCCGCACACCAGATAGTTGGTGTTCTGCCTGGCTCAAGACTCTCTTTGCATCTGTGAGGAGAGGCGAGGTGTCAGAGGTGTCAGAGTTCAGGGCACCCAGGCACCCCTGAAGTCATCTGTCTCCTCACCTGCAGGATCTTGAAAAGTGAGGACACCCCCACTGCCGATTCTCTGCCAGCTCGACAGAGGCCCTCCACCAGAGCGGCGGTGGTTCTCAAAGTAGAGGGTGAGCAGCTCATCCGGCACTTCAGGGAGCAGTCCCCGGAGCTCCACAGCTGCCCCTGCCTCCACCTCTGCCATCAGAGACCTGGGATGCCACACAGGAGAAGGGAAAAGGCCGGCTCCACCTGTGCGGTCCTCTCTCCCAAGCCCCTAGCTGCTCCCCAGACCCCATATTTACACTCACCAGGCTGCCCCAGGCAAGTCAGTCAGGCCTGATGTCTGTCCCAGGCAGAAGGCCTGACACTGGAAAGCAAAAGTGAAACTGACAGAAAAAAGGAAAGAGGAGGGGCTAAGCCAGTGGCTGTAACTCAGAGGCTTCCTTTCCTGGTGAAGCCTTAACCCTCTCAAGGAAATTCTAAGGTCCCTTCTGCCAGTCTACCCACTAGCCTCTGACAGGCAAGGTAGACCCCATGTCTCCCAGACTCGCTCTACCTTCTTGGCTTCTCTTTGTGACTAATCACCCTCCCTATGGGATCTACCCCTCATGGTACAAGCCCTCATGGTACAACACCTCCCTACCCCCACCCCTGTCAAGAGTCTCTGGGCTTCTGTGCCCTGGGTCCTAGACATGAGCAGCATTGATTCTTTGAACAGGCCGCTGACAGGTTATCAGTCTGTAGCCCAGAATGCCTGAAACTCACCATGCAGGCCAGGTTGGTCTTGAACTAGGAGTGATTCTCCTGTCTCACTCTCTTGAATGCTGGGGCTGTAGGCACGGACGGCCATGCGCAGATTTCAGGCTGTGTCTTTATAATTCACTCTCTTACCCACCGCCAATCCTGCCCACCATCAAGGTCTGTTTGCCTCTGTCGTCTCCAAGGCTGTAACTACTGTTGCCCTCCACCCACACCTTCCATTCAGGCCAGCCCGGCCCTGCTGTCCTTCCAGAGGGTCATGGTTTGCCCAATCTATAATCTAACCCTAACCCTGTATGTGGTCCTTGGGTCTCCATCTCCTTCTGCCCCCCACAGTTAAGAGCCTCCAGAACTACTCAAAGGGCCATGCTATCTATTCTGTCTTCTCTGCCACTCCTAGCCACTCCCATTGTGGATCCCCCACAGAGCTGGCAGGGTACCAATGGCTGCTACAAACCCCAGGGCCAATGACAGTAAAAAACTAAAGTCCGATTGGCCCCAGTTCCCATCCCTCTAATCCCTCTCCACTCTAATGCTTATTGGGCTCCAACCTCCCTGCCTCTCCTCTTACCTAAACCAGTGCCCCTGGACCAGCTTTAGTCTGCATGACCTAGCCTTCTCCACACAGCCGAATGGCCAGCCCATGATTTCCCTTACCCAACCCTCAGTGGCGAATATAAAATGGCGCTAAGAACTTAAAGGGTCTCTGAGTTGTCCAGGCTCATTCCGAGTCCCTATAGTCAACTTTGTGTTTGTCATTTATTTTCCTCAAAGATCCCACAGATTATAGGAGATTCTGTTTCCACAAAAAGCCTGTCCTGCCTATGCTATGCTTTCTTCTTACAGGACTTAGCCACCTTCTAGCAACTGGGCTTTGCTTAGATAAATGCCTGCTTCAGAGGGCCTGTCAAAGGCAGGGTGCACTAAAACAGCTCACATTACTGCCGTTGTTAAATCTTTAGGAATGTCAGTAAACTGGATGTTAAACTGACAATGCCTCGTGTACTGGTTAGCTTTAACTGTTAACTTGACCCGACCTAGAATTATCTAGAAAGAAAGTCTTAGAGTGGAATTATCTAGAACAGGTTGGTCTGTGGGGATGTCTGTGAGGGGTTTTCTTACTAATTAGGAGTGGAACAACCACCATTTATATGAACTATATAAGAAAGCTTACTGAGGCCGGGCTCACAGAGTGAGATCCATCTGCCTCTGCCTTCCGAGTGCTGGGATTAAACATAGTGAGTTCCAAGCCAGCTGTGGTTACAGAGACCTTGTCTCTCTCTCTCTCTCTCTCTCTCTCTCTCTTTTTTTTTTTTTTTTTTTGGTTTTTCGAGACAGGGTTTCTCTGTGGCTTTGGAGGCTGTCCTGGAACTCGCTTGCAGCAAAGCCGAGAAGGGATGGAGTCCTTGGAGGCTTCCGTAAATCCTGGGTTTAGGAGTTAACTCCCTGAATAGAGAGCCACATAAGCCGAAACAGAACCATGCCTCCACAGGTCGTCAGCCCCCGCGCCAGACTTCAACCCTGATCAGAGACCCAGGGTACACGGCTCTGACCTAGGACGGCCACGAACAAAAGTAAACAGCCAGGCGGGGCGGAGCAGTTTCGGTCGGCGCAAAAGCACGCTGACCGGTCACAACATCCGCCCTATCACAAGGCCCCGCCCCTCCCGTCACAAGGCCCCGCCCTACCACAAGGCCCCGCCCCACCACAAGGCCCGCCCAGTCACAAGGTTTCTCTGCGTCTCCCCAGCCGCAGGCGCAGGCCGAAGCAGCCCGGCCGCCCAGCGGGTGCAGGTGCGGACGCACCGGCCATCAGCGCGCGCGGCTGCGCAGCGGGCACCGTAGACACCGGCCTCTGGCTCCCCGGGAGCGGTGAGTCCCCCAGCCAAACCCAAGAGCGTGTCGCCGCCGCAGTCCCCTGCCAGCCGGCCATCCTATCCCTGCGTTGGTACTGAGTGCGGTCGCCTCGGGTCAGTTGGTTCGGCCGGGACTCGCTGCCCGCTCGCCCGCCCGCCCAGACTGGTGGCATCATTGGGGGTGGAGCGCTGCTGCGGCCCTGAGCAGGCGAGAGGGGGGTGGCACACTGCGGCCGCCCGGACTCGAGGCCCAGCGACCCCCCACTCACCCAGCGGGAGGGCCCATCGGCCCTCGGGACGCGTTCTGTGGCCGCCGCCCCCTCCCCCCCCACCCCGTCTGGTCCCCATCGCTGCTTTGTTCCCTTGAACGCCCTCTGGTCGTTTCCATCCCCCACACACCCCCGCACCCCGCTGTTCCTGGCGTACCCTACTAGCAGGCGCCTGAGCAGCCAGTTACAGGCCTGCCCTCGGCACCCGGAGCTAGCGACATTCGGCCCTGCGCCTGGGAGGAGGGTCAGGGTTCCCGCTGGTCACAGATGGCCTGGGGATTTCCTGGGATAGAAATAGCCACTGGCGCTGGCCCCTTCAAGCTGCTTAATGGGCGGGATAGGAGAGGGAGGGCCGGGGCACACCCCCACGCCTCCCTAGCCACTGCGCCACTCCCCCGAAAGACCCGCAGCGGTCAGAAGGCATCTCCCAAGCTTCAAGCCGAGGCTGACAGCCATCACTCTTTCTCCCTTCCCCCACTCCTAGATCGGTCTAGAGCAGCCCCTTCCAAGGGTCCACGCCGGCCTCCCCAGCCCCACCCATTGCTCCCTGCCTCCTTGTTCTGAGGCTCCCTAAAACCCCGTACAAAGGTCGTGGTCCAGCTTTTTTTTTCCTTCCTGGATTGCGAGCAGGTGGGGCTGTCACTGGTTCCTGTCTCATAGAGGTAACTGTTCCCTTTTTCTCCTCTAGGGGCAGCCGCAGAACCCGAGGCCATGTCCCATGAAAAGAGTTTCTTGGTGTCTGGGGACAGCTACCCTCCCCCAAACCCTGGATATGCTGTGGGGCCCCAGGCCCCTATGCCTCCCTATGTTCAGTCTCCTTACCCCGGAGCCCCGTACCCACAGCCTCCCTTCCAGCCCTCCTCCTACGGTCAGCCAGGGTATCCCCACGGGCCCAGCCCCTACCCACAAGGGGGCTACCCTCAGGGACCCTACCCTCAAGGGGGCTACCCACAAGGCCCATACCCACAGAGCCCCTTCCCTCCCAACCCCTATGGACAGCCACCACCATTCCAGGACCCTGGCTGTAAGTGTAGGGAAATGTGGGGCAGGGGCAGGGGCTCGACTGTCCTCCTGGGACACTGACCCAGCCCCTGTGCCCCCAGCACCACAGCATGGGAACTACCAGGAAGAAGGGCCTCCGTCCTACTATGACAACCAGGACTTCCCCGCCGTCAACTGGGACAAGAACATCCGGCAGGCCTTCATCAGAAAGGTTAGGCCTGGCAAGTGTGTAGGCTGGGAGGCGTCCTGGGGCGGCCACTGAGGTGTGGCTCTGATGTGTTCCCTCCCCAGGTGTTTCTGGTGCTGACCCTGCAGCTGTCAGTGACCCTGTCGACTGTGGCCGTTTTCACTTTTGTTGGGGAAGTGAAGGGCTTTGTCCGGGAGAATGTCTGGACCTACTATGTCTCCTACGCTATCTTCTTCATCTCCCTCATTGTGCTCAGCTGTTGTGGGGACTTCCGGCGAAAGCATCCCTGGAACCTTGTTGCTCTGGTAACTCCCAAGCCTGAGCCCAGCGCCCCTAGGCCTGTCGGACGGGGAAGCGGGCACGCAGGGGTTGGACCAAGAGCATCTCCACACACCCACGGTCCCCTGTGGTCCTTTTCCGCAGTCGATCCTGACCGTCAGCTTGTCCTACATGGTGGGCATGATAGCCAGCTTTTACAACACAGAGGCAGTCATCATGGCAGTGGGTATCACCACGGCTGTCTGCTTCACGGTGGTCATCTTCTCCATGCAGGTAAGGGGAACCTGAGGCGGGCCCTAAGCCTCAGGGCCCTCAACACGCCCAGTCTCTCACCTCCTTGCCTTCCTTCCAGACGCGCTATGACTTCACCTCGTGCATGGGTGTGCTCCTGGTGAGTGTGGTGGTGCTCCTCATCTTCGCCATACTCTGCATCTTCATTCGGAACCGCATCCTGGAGATTGTGTATGCCTCGCTGGGCGCTCTGCTCTTCACCTGCGTGAGTGAGGAGGGCATTGGGAGGCCTTCGCGGTGGCACTGAGTGAGCGAATGGGTCGTCTCATACCAACCGTGTCTTTACCCCCTAGTTCCTGGCCGTGGACACTCAGCTGCTCCTGGGGAACAAGCAGCTCTCCCTGAGCCCAGAGGAGTATGTGTTTGCGGCTCTGAACCTGTACACGGACATCATCAACATCTTCCTGTATATTCTCACCATCATTGGCCGTGCCAAGGAGTAGCACAAGCCCTGGTCCGCGTGGCATGGATGGCTGAGGCCCCTGGCACAGCAACGCCATCCGTGCTTCCGTCTCTCTGACCCCCAGGCGTGGCCTGGAGCAGAGGGAACCGCCCTCGCCCTCGTCTGTGTACACTGCAAATAATTAACGTTTGGACCCTCCGTGGCCACAGCATGGCCCTTTCTAGCCCTCTCGCCCTTGCCGAGGGCGACGGGGCTGCGTCATGTGCTGCCCTCTGTCCACTCATTGTTGCATGAGCCCGTCTGCCAGCCCGTCCCAGGGGAGGAGGGCCACTCTAGGAGGGGAGGGTGCACGTCTTCCTTCCCGTCCCAGCTTCCCTGGCGTAGAGCACCCCGTTCCCTCCTCACCCTGCCCTCCAAGGGACGTGCAGGGTGGGGCTCCACTCTTGGGCTGACCCCTGAGAGCAGAAAGGATGGCATGTCTCAGGGGAGGAGCCTCTCATGTGCCATCATCAAAACTCCAATAAAGGATCCCTTCTTCTCTCTGCTTCTCCTTGTCTCTCTTCTCTCGGCCCGCCCTGGCTGGTGACTGGGGCGGGCACTGACACAGGTTAATGACTCTTCCTTTCTTGCCGTCTTGCCACTGGGATCTGAGCTGAGGACAGGGTTCCGCTGGCACACAGGCATAGTCCAGGTCGGACAGTTTGGAGTCCACTGGCTGTGTGTGACACTCAGAAAGTAGAGTGGACTCCGGGAACAGCACAGTGCAACAGTGGGCTCTGTGAGTTTCTTATGTTTCCGCCCAGGGCCAGCAACAGATCAACAGGCACAACGCTAAAAGAACAGGCTCCTCGGCCTCTGGTGTCCTGGCACTGCCTCTCGGTGCCAGTTCCAAAGCCTGTTCTCCCTCCCTTCGTCTCTGGAGCCACCTATCCAAGACCCTGGAATATGGCTGTGCACAAGCAGACGTCCTCACCCTCCCCACAGAAGGCTCCTTGATACCTAGATCTCAACTCAGTTCAAGGCCCTAGACTCCTGAAACCCCAAGGTCAGGGCAGCCTTGATCCTTGGAGGTTTCTTCTTTAGGATTCTGTATCCTGATTGGCACGAGAACCTTCCTGGGCCGTTCCTGGAAGTGTATGGGTATGCTTAGTTAACGGGCATCAGTTACTCATGTGCATGTAGGAACTACACAAGCCACCCAGTCCCACAGGTACCTCGGCCGTGGCCTGTGCCAAGTCACAAGCACCCTCCCCAAAACATGGGGCTTCTCCATTATCTCACCAGGCCAGAAGTGGCTATCCCTCCTCCATTATGTCTCATTCTTCCCCCACCCAGCCTCCTCCTCAGCTTCATTTAGACCTTAGGTCTACAAGCCAGACTGCTAGATGTGAGCCATGGATCCCATAGCCCACCTACCTAAGACCTGTCCCTCAGGGCGGAGCCAATATTCCTTATTCTGGTAACCAGGCTCTGCCAACTGCCACTGGCTGTTCCAACTACCCTGGCCTTGGACAGAGTGAACTAAGAATTTCTCCTTGATGGCCAATTCTTGTAGCCTTCCTTCCAAGGGGTGGGGTTATTCCTGCTCAGAACCCTTTCCTGAAGTCTGCCTTACTTTCAATAGCTAACCTTAGTCATTTTGTAAATACCAAATTGACAAACCCACTTCCCCCACCTCCCTTCTGCATTCCTTTGAGAAGATCCAGTTCCTCATCTAGAGCGCAAGTTCTGTAAAAACTTGTCGACTGGGGTAACCAACTAAAGCTCTGGGTTGTTGCTCAATGGCTGAGAACTTGCCCGATAAGAACTTGTTTAGCATGTGCAAGGGCCTGGATCCCCAGCACCACAAAAACAAAGCCCCACTGCTGATACAAGCTCACAGATCCAGATAAAAGAGACCATGTTGAGTCGGGCGTTGGTGGCGCACACCTTTAATCCCAGCACTCTGGAGGCAGAGGCAGGCGGATCTCTGTGAGTTCGAGGCCAGCCTGGTCTACAAAGTGAGTTCCAGGACAGCCTCCAAAGCCACAGAGAAACCCTGTCTCGAAAAACCAAAAAAAAAAAAAAAAAAAAAAAAAAAAAAAGAGAGAGCATGTTGTTAAAACATCTAGCAAGAGGGGAGGAGTAGCATGGGGATCATCACAATAGGCAGTGATTCATCAGAAAATCCCAGGAAAACTTAGTTGGGGAAAGGGGCTTTCTGGGAACAGCTAGGGCCTGGAGGTAAAGGCCAAACACGGGGGCTTGAAAGTGTCCTATAGATGAGAGACGCCCTGCCAGGCAATGATGGCGAATGCCTTTAATCCCAGCACTAAGTGATTTCCAGGACAGCCAGGGCTACACTGAGAAACTGTCTCAACACCGCCTGCCCTGAGGGAGGGAGGCTCAGCAAGAGCTCCTAGGTTTGTAGAAAGCAGTAAGAGAGCTGTTCATGATGGGGAGTTGCTGAGATGTGTTAGAAACCATGAGCAAATACTGCCTTGAACATGTGGGATTGAGTGTAAGGGCCAGGAGAGCAGAGGCTCCTACCTGCTGAGAAACAAACTTGAAACAGAATCCAAGCTCCTCATGCTGACATTGGAGGAGGCAGAAGTGTCCACATTGCTCTGTAAAGATGGCTGGGGGTGGGGGAATCCCTTGCTGTACATAATACATACCCCCAGGACCCGAGTAAAGCTGGGCGGGGTAGCACGCCTCTAATTCTAGTGCCCAATGTTGAGATAGGAGACAGAGATGAGAGAATCTGTAGAAGCTTGCTGGCCAGCCTGGAGAATGAAGCAGTTAACAAAGATCCCCAATCTCAAAGCGGAAGGTGAAGTCTGACACCCAGGTTTGTCCTCTGTCCTGCATACACACAACATGGCATACAGATGCCTGCACATACGCACACACAGCACATGAAAATATCTCTTAAAAAGCTCTCAAGTTGATGCATGTAGTTAAATGGAGTTGTAACTATGCGATCACCATGGTGTTCAAGTGAGAAAGAAAAGCATTTCCCAACACCTAGAATCTGGCTTGGCCTATCTGCAAGACTTCAGTGAAGCTGGAAGCTGTCCTGGCACTCACAGATAGAGACACTGGGGTTGCTAGGCGCTGGTCTGGCTCTCACAGATAGAGGCCTTGATACTCTGTTTAAACAATTTCATGAAACATTGACAACAGACCAGGCCACTCTGTTACCATAATGGGTCAAGAAAAACCAAGACCCCTCTTATCTACCTAAACTCAGAAAATACAGAGGCATTGTTTAAGCTACAAGAAGGACTAAGCTGAGGCAGACGGATGGCTCAGTGGTTAAGAGCACTGGCTGTTCCTCCAGAGATCCCAGGTTCAATTCCCAGCACCCACATGGCAGCTCACAATGTCTGTAACTCCAGTTCCAGGGGATCTGACACCCTCACACAAACATATGTGTAGGCAAAACATCAATGCACATAAAATAAAGTCATAAAAAAAGATCAAGCTGTACTCTCTCTGTGTCTATGCTTCAAGAATTACCCGTGTCTCTAAAGGTAGTAATCCTACCTGGTCCACCCATAGATGGGCCCAAGTGAATTACATGGGGGAACACTGGCAGGATTAACTGTACTAAAGCCAAGGAGGTGATTAACTTCCAATCAAAATATACTTAGTTTCATAAGTAATAATTAAATCTTGTTTTCAAGATTAAACACCAGCATTTATGGGAAAAAATGTTCACCTCTTCATTATAGCCCTGACCCTCAGAGCAACATTGTCATTGGTGCCAGTTGCAAAACACAGCAGGAGGTTAGTTCTAGACTCCAGTTCCTTAAAGCAAGCTCATATCCTGGACACACTGCCTCTGGCTCACTAGGGCTACTGTTCGGCATCTGTAGGTTAGAAGCGCCTTCAGAGGGACCGTGATCTGAACTTTAGACATAGCCCAGCACCTAGTACAGAGCCTGGCGTACCAGAACGTCAAACACGGATCGAATGAATAAGTTAACACAGCATGAGCCTCCAGCCTTGATACAAGTGACAGTGTGGTCTTTGGCAGACCATCAACTGGAAGGGAATAGTTGCAGCTGTGTTACTGACAGAAGTTGCCCTGAGTTGACCAGAATTCATGTTTGGGACTCTCAGGGGGAAGAAAGCAGTGGTAAGACCACAGGCTCTTGTCTAGAAACCTGGAGATTTCCAACTAGAATCAGGTGTGTAGTAGCCAAAACCACAACCCAGGCTCCACCCATCTTTGCCTCAATGGTTATTGGTAATCGGTCCACTCCCTATGCCTGGCAAAGGATAAAGTGAATTCCTTCTAAAAGAAGATAACATCAGCCGGGCGTTGGTGGCACACGCCTTTAATCCCAGCACTCGGGAGGCAGAGGCAGGCGGATCTTTGTGAGTTCGAGGCCAGCCTGGTCTACAAAGTGAGTTCCAGGACAGCCTCCAAAGCCACAGAGAAACCCTGTCTCGAAAAAACCAAAAAAAAAAAAAAAAAAAAGAAGATAACATCAGCCAGCCTATGGTGACATGCCTTTAATCCCAGAACTCTGGAGGCAGAGACAGGCAGATCTCTGTGAGTTTGAGACCAGCCTCCAAAGCCACAGAGAAACCCTGTCTCGAAAAAACCAAAAAAAAAAAAAAAAAAAAAAAAAAAAAAAGAAGATAACATCAGCCAGCCTATGGTGACATGCCTTTAATCCCAGAACTCTGGAGGCAGAGACAGGCAGATCTCTGTGAGTTTGAGACCAGCCTCCAAAGCCACAGAGAAACCCTGTCTCGAAAAAACAAACAAACAAACAAATAAAAAACGATATCATCTGGAACACAATATCTATCATTTTACTAAAGTTACTAAGTATTTCAAAATAGGGTTGTCTGGCTAACAACCAAGAGGGAAAGTTAAATGACAGAAACAGACCTAGAGGTGACTCAAAAATGGAGAGGAGAAAAAAAAAAAACAAGGTCTTTAGTACAAACATGATTATTAAGGAAAAACACAAGTGGAAGCAGTAGAAAGGTCAATAAATATGAAAATCCCACCAAGAACTAGATTCTATAACAACAAGAATCAGCTGGGTGGCCGGGCGTTGGTGGCGCACACCTTTAATCCCAGCACTCGGGAGGCAGAGGCAGGCGGATCTCTGTGAGTTCGAGGTCAGCCTGGTCCACAGACCCGATTCCAGGACAGCCTCCAAAACAATACAGAGAAACCCTGTCTTGAAAAAACAAAAAACAAAACAAAACAAAACAAAAAAAGAATCAGCTGGGTGTGTGGGGCTTTTAATCCCAGCACTCAGCTGGCGGAAATAAGTGGAACCATATGAGTTTGAAGTCAGCCTGGTCGAGAAGGTAAGTTCCAGGACATCTAGAGCTGCACAGAGAACCCCTTCTCAAAAACCAAAACAAGGCGTTGGTGGCACATGCCTTTAATCCCAGCACTCGGGAGGCAGAGGCAGGCGGATCACTGTGAGTTCGAGACCAGCCTGGTCTACCGAGCAAGTTCCAGGACAGCCTCCAAAGCCACAGAGAAACCCTGTCTGGAAAAACCAAACCAAACCAAAACAAAACAAAACAAAACAAGAGAAAATAACAAGAATCAAATTGAGCTTTTTCTTTTGAAGGTAAAGTCTCAGGGGGCTGGAATGACAGACTAAGAGATGAAGAGGACCTGTTGCTCTAGCAGAGGACCAGTGTTCAGCTCACAGCCATCAGTAACTCCAGTCCAGGGGATCCAATGGCCTCCTCTGATATCCACCAACGCCAGGTATGTGCAAGATACATACACACACAGGCAGATGAAACACTCACATATGTTAAAAAAAATAACCTCAAATATATTTTTAAAGAAATCAAAAAGGGCTTGGAGTACAGGTCAATAGTAAAACTCTTGCCTAGTGTGTTTTAGGACCTGGGTTTGAGACCCAACTACACAAAAAATAAAAAGTAAGAAAACAGAAACTAACAGAGTTGGAGAGGGTATGGAGAAACTGGAGTCCTTGTACACAGACTGTAGAACATAAGATGGGACAGTAATGGGAGAAAGCAGGGTAACAGTTCCTTGAATAAACTAAAAATAGAGCAACCATATGACCTAGTTACAAAATACAATAACAAAAGTTTCAAGTGGTAAGGACCTAATAGAAACGGGAGTCATTTTATATGTGTTAAATGGTAAAGAAATACATAAGTGGTACTAAAATTATAACATTTACTGTGAAAAAGACCTAAACTTTGCTTGTGGGAGTGAGCTTTCATAAAGTGGGTTACCTGAAATCAGGGGGAAGGACCACACAGGGTGTGGATCTCTCAGCAAACACAGGCATCAGGTAGACCCCCAAGGTGTGTCTGTGTTGTGTATCCCTCTGGGGTTGTGGTTGTTTTCAAATGATTTTTAAAAGATTTATTTTTATTTTATTTGTGTGTTGTACCTGTGTGTGTGTGTGTGTGTGTGTGTGTGTGTGTGTGTGTGTGTGTGTGTGTGTGTACCCCTGTGTGTAGTGCCCCTGGAGGCCAGAAGAGGGTGTCATATCCTCCGGAACTGGAGCTATAGATAGCTGAGAGCCAACATGCAGGCGCTCAAACTGAACTGGGGTTGAGCAACAGCAGAATAGCAGGGAGGGCTCCTAACTGCTGAGCCTATGGCCCTTCACATCATGTTTCTGGTGGGAAACAATGAACACAAAACTTACTTTGAGATCCAAGTGTCCCCAAATACATCAATAGTGCTGAAACCAGTTTGCATTTCAAAACATAACAGTAAAATCGTTTACTGACATTCCTTCAATCAACTTTTTCAAAAAACGCAACAGTTCCAACTTTACCAGACAAAGATACTCAATATTTATCCTTACCATAAAAGTGTAGTAAATTGTTCCAAGGACCCAACAGACAGACAAAGGGTTCTTGGAGGAGCCAAGAAACGATCAGAGCAGAGCTTAAGAGCTGATTGGTTAACTCAGGAATCCATCCTTACCTACCAAAGAGCTTAAAGTGTTAGGGAAAAAAAGTGTCAGAGTTGCAAGAACGCTGCTCCCTGTGCTCTAGGCAGTGGTTTTGGGAAGGTCTTTTTGATCTTGCTGAAACCCAGCAGGGACTCATTCCCAGACCAGGCAGGAAGGGCTGGCCCAAGAATCAAGGAAGAAGCCAGACCTCCTCAGGTCAACATCTGTCACTGGGATCTGGCTGCTGCCCAGCTAGGGACACATGACCTGGAAAGGCTGTCTCCAACCTGAGCTCATGAACAAAGAGGCATGCCTGCATAGCTGCAGAGTAGGCTGGCAGAACCCTACAGGGTGGACTTAGACCCTATGCCTGTCCTCCTGAGATTCAGTTCACTGGCCTGGATCAGAATAATCTCCTGTGGATTATGCATTTTCAGACCATCTCGGCAGTCCTTCCCACCACCCCAGGGAGGTCAGTGAAGGAGTCTCAGAAGTCCATACTCATTATCGGGGTTCATTTACACTCACTGTTTATAGCTTGCGGCACCGGCACCACAAACAACTCCAAGGTATCAGGAAAAGAAAGACCAGATGTCCAGCTGTTTGTACTAAAAAGTGTCTTTATTTTGCAAGTGCTAAGAGGTCTCTCTCTTGTAGGAGGGAGTAGTCTTATATATAGTCTTACAACACAGTAGAAAAACCCCAGATAGAAGACAGCATGTTTTCTTCCTGCTAGATATAGATGTCAGTGGGGCAATGCGGGGGCAGTAAACCAGGACTAGAAAACATGATGCACCTGTGGCTATCAGCTGACAAACAACTCAGAGACCCTGTGGGGGCTAGGCCCCAACATCTCCCCCTTTTTATTTTTTGAAAAAATTTTTGAACTGTTTGCTTCTCTATAGAAAGTTCCGTACAGATTTCTTTAGCTCTCAGGCATTGTTGTCGGCTTTTGCTATTTTTCTCAGGGGCTACCGCCATACCCTCTCCTTGTAAAAAGTTTCTAGAGATGACACACAAAATTGACCTTAGCAATAACCAACCCTGTATAAATGCAAACAAACATTTATTTGGGAATGTGGGCGTTGTTCTTTCCAAACTACTTTCTGCTGTTAAAAGATGCTGTTCATACCATGGGGATCATGACAAAACTCAGAAACCTGTATAAGTCCTTATTTTCGGGGTCTGTAAGGATGTATCATCTTAGCCCTTTAAATGTTGAATCACTTGGGCCACTGCTTCCGGAGGTCTTGCTTCATCAAACCATACTAGTCTGGAAGGAACCCACAGCTTTTTATTTTCTGTGGAAATAAAAGCAGAAAATTATTTCCCAAGTAACCTGTCCTTATATTTAAATTTAGAAGTCAACGCATTTTCAAAATATGTAAGTTGGATTATTTCAGCAGCATTGATAATCAAATGTCTTTTAGTAGTTTGTTTCTTTCTTAGCAATTAAACAGTTTTTTTTTGTTTTTGTTTTTGTTTTTTTTTGTTTTTTTGTTTTTCCGAGACGGTTTCTCTGTGGTTTTGGAGGTTGTCCTGGAACTCACTTGGTAGTCCAGGCTGGTCTCGAACTCACAGAGATCCACCTGCCTCTGCCTCCCGAGTGCTGGGATTAAAGGCGTGAGCCACCAACGCCCGGCTCAATTAAACAGTTTAAAGACAACACAACAGCACACAGTATCCAGACTTTCCGTTTATTTTCCATTTCATATACTTTTACCTTTTTCTTTTCTTTCACTTAATACCAGTATCTTGTTTACTAACTGTTACCAACTTTCAATTCAACTATTTTCAATCCATCCTCCAACTCAGGATGATCCCTCAGGCAAAAGCCTTAAGATTTACTCAATCCACCCTCCAACTGAGGGCGATCTCTCAAGTTCCCCTTTCTTTCCCGACCTTGCGGGTGAACGCCTGGAGATTTAACCTGGTACCCCTAACTTGGTACTCCTTTCCAATACATCCTCATAGTCTTATTTGCTGGCCAGCCTTTGAGGGTGATCTCTCAGCTCCCCTTTACTTTCCTGACCTCAATGGATCAGGCAAAAGGCTGGAGATTAATTCAATACACCTTCTCCTTAGAAGGTGACCTCTCAAGCAACAGCCTGGGGATTGACCATTCAGTTTCACTGTTAGAAGCTGAGGTACCTGGTTTTTTGTTTTTTGTTTTTTGTTTTGTTTTGTTTTGTTTTGTTTTGGTTTTTCGAGACAGGGTTTCTCTGTGGCTTTGGAGGCTGTCCTGGAACTCGCTTGGTAGTCCAGGCTGGTCTCTAACTCACAGAGATCCGCCTGCCTCTGCCTCCCGAGTGCTGGGATTAAAGGCGTGCGCCACCAATGCCCAGCTTGAGGTACCTGTTTTTAATTCTTTTCTTTCTCGAGTCTCTCCTCTCCCAAGTCTTCTTTCTGGCCGATTTTTCCCAGTCTTTCCAAGTCTCTCTGGATCTCGGCAGGACCTCCAATTGAGGCACTCACACCACAAGCAGGTCCGAGGTATCAGGAAAAGAAAGACCAGATGTCCAGCTGTTTTGTACTAAGAAGTGTCTTTATTGCAAGTGCTAAGAGGTCTCTCTCTCTCTTTTTTTTTATTTTTCAAGACAGGGTTTCTCTGTATTGTTTTGGAGGCTGTCCTGGAACTCGCTCTGTAGACCAGGCTGGCCTCGAATTCACAGAGATCCGCCTGCCTCTGCCTCCAGAGTGCTGGGATTAAAGGCGTGCGCCACCAATGCCCGGCTGAGGTCTCTCTCTTGTAGGAGCAAACAGTCTTATAATATTCTTACAACACAGTAGAAAAACCCCAGGTGGAAGAGTGTTTGTTTTCCTCCCACTAGATGTTGATGTCGGTGGGGCAATGCGGGGGCAGTGAACCAGGACTAGAAACATGATGCACCTGTGGCTATCAGCTGACAAACAACTCAGAGACCCTGTGGGGGCTGGGCCCCAACAATAGCTGGCTCTTTAGATAGCCAAGTGTAGGTGCTAAGAACCCGAGGGAAACTAGTCTGAGGTAACCTCACACTTCCCGACCTACATGGCCAGGTAAATGCTGGGCTGTATTTAAGCACCCTTCCTCAGACTGTCACCGTGTTAATCAGTGTTCCGTTGCTGTGAAGAGACACCACGGCCACTGCAGCTGTTATAAAAGAAAACATTTAATTGGGGCTTGCTTACAGTTTCAGAGGTTAATCCATTATCTTCATGGTGGAGAACATGGCAGCAAGCAGGCAGACATGGTCTGGAGAAGTAGCTGAGAGTTGTACATTCAGATCCACAGGCAGCAGGAAGAGAAACCCATTGGGCCTGGCTTGTGCTTTTGAAAACCTCCAAGTCCACCCCAATGGCTCGATTCCTCCAACAAGGCCACACCTCCTAATCTTTTTCAAATAGTGCCACTCCCTGATGATTGAGCATTCAAATATAAGAGCCTATGAGGACCATCCTTATTCAAACCATCACAGCAACCTGCCAATTCCCTCTGTTTACAGATCCCTGGTGAAAACTGATTTTGAAAGATTTGTTACAATTGGGCTGACCTGGAGTTGGGGGGAGGTCAATTCACTGGGGAGCAGGCTAAGCCTAGCAGCACCCTCCAGATCTGTCCAGGAATAATGCTCAGACCAGGCCTAGTGTCCCGAGGGTGGAGGGACAAACTTGGGGAGGGCACACCATCCCGGTCAAAGGAGCAGGGTGAGGAACGGCGGGCATTCGGGGAAGCGACTGGCACCCAAAGGTGAAATTTCAAGAGGCCTGGACTTTACTCTGGAGCTAGGAGCAAAGACGGTGGGCAGTGTCCATTTATACTCTGTGGAATCGCCGAGCCTCCTGAAGTAACAGTAATTAATTCAAGAGACTCAACCAAATGACTCTCCTGCACCCCATGTCTCCACTCACAGAGTAAGAGTAGTCCCTTCCTTTACTCTGAATTCCCTGGCCCTTCCACCTGTGTGTAAATACAAAGTTCTTATTGCAGCCTACAAACTCATATTCAGCTTCCCCGAATTGCATTCCCCTCCTGCGGCTATCCCACTTCATCTCACGGGCTCCTTGAAGATCTTAACATACCAACCCGGCTTTGCACTGTTACTCCCTTAGTGTGAAAAGTTTTTGTCTTTTTAAAATGTTACCTGTTTATATGTGTAGGCTGGGTCTCACTGTGTAACCCTGGCTAGGCTGGAACTCACTATGCAGACCACGATGACCTCAAACTCACAGAATTCTTCTGCTTCTGCTCCTGAGTGCTGGAATCAAAGGTGTGCGCTGCCACACCTGGCCTCTTTTTAGTTTTTTTTTTTAAATCACACTTTGCTTGTGTGACACGGTACATGGGTGTCACCGCACACACATGGGTGTCACCACATACACATGGTGTCACCACACACACATGGTGTCACTGCTCACACATGGTGTCACTGCTCACACATGGGTGGGTGTTGGAGGACATATGTAGGAGTAGGTTCTCGCTTTTACCATGTGAGTCTGAGGAGGCCTTGGTGGGAGCTGCTTTTACTGAGATTTCTCAGTCTTACTAACACAGTTTTGCCTTTTCTCAATTCCCTACCGTCAGGTCTCCTGCCATGATTACCTTGTTAGCAAAAGATTGTTTTTCATTAAATTCAGTAGCTGCCCCTTAGAGACATTTGGCGCACTGGGTTAGCCTCAGGCACTGGCTCTGTCACTGCCTGCCACTAACGGGGACTTTGTCTAGATCTCTATCCCTCTAAAGAACTCAGGATTCAAAGGTTAAGGTGAAATTCTGCTCGCTCAGAAGGGCTGAATAGCAAGTGACTAACCTCTCTTTTTTTTTTCCTTTTTTTGGTTTTTATGAGACAGGGTTTCTCTGTATTGTTTCGGGGGCTATCGGTCCAGCCCGGCCTCGAACTCACAGAGATCCGCCTGCCTCTGCCTCCCGAGTGCTGGGATTAAAGGTGTGCGCCACCACCGCCCAGCCGTGACTAACCTCTCTTAGCTGGAGTCTCCCCCAAAACCAGGCATCCTTTTCATCCCCCACTTATAAACCATAGCTACCCATGGCTCCCCTACCACCCTGTCAGCTAGTTGCTCACTCAATCTCCTGACCCCAGGTTAATTTTATAACATGCCTTTGTATCACTAAACAAATGTTGAACAGCATAAATAGCGTAATGCACCTTAAATTAATATTCCACAACAGGGGAGCCTCTCCGAGTACTCTGTCCCGCTAGCCGCCTGCCCTGTGCTCCCTTTCCCAGCTGCGTCTCTACTCATAATACATGACCACCATCTGTCTGCCCAGCCAGTTATCCCTTTATCTGGCCATCTTCTTCCTTCTGCCGGACAGCTGGCCCTGCGCAGCAGCAGGCACTCTGCTGTGCTCACTGTACTGTAGGAGATGACTCTAGATGCCTGCTGTGGAGAATTACCTAAGTGCTGACCTCTCCGTTGCTATAGAACTGCACTGCTGCCTGCTTTAGAGGAATAAGCTATGGCATGGAAAAGGTCACATAGTTCACAGTTACCCAGCTGTAACTATCTTAAATCTCAGGTCATGGACTGGAGAGATGACTCCAAGGGTAAGAATGCTTGCTATGCAAGCATGGGGAGCTGAGTTCAAATCCTGAGAACCCACATAGAAAGCAGGACATGTTTATACACAGCCCTGGAACCCCAGCTGGAGCCAGGAGGACTGGAGCTCAGGGTCAGTGAGCATCTTGCTAGGGTCTCTATTGCTGTGAAGATATGAACAAAAGCAATTTGGAGGGAAAGGGTTTATTTTAGTTCATACCTTGTAGGCCATCATCTAGGGAAGTCAGGGCAGGAACTCAAGGCTGGAACCCGGAGGCAGGAGCTGATGCGGAAGTCATGGAGGGGTGCTGCTGGCTGGTTTCCTCCTCATGACTTGCTCAGTCTGCTCTGTTACCTGGGACCACCTCCCCTGGGGTAGCACTTCCCACATCAGTCACTAATAAAATGTATCCCAGGACTGCCCTCTGGCAAATCTGGTAGGGTTATTTTCTCAGTTGGTACTCTTTTTTCCCAAGTGATTCTATCTTGTATTAAGTTGGCATAAAAGTGGATAAGGGTGAGTCATACCTCGTCTTATATTTTTGGTTGTGAGCCTCCCTTTAACGGCTGAGCTAACCCTCCAGCCCAAACACACCTTGTCTCAAGTGGCTAAGGCACAAAGAGATGGAGAAGGACACCCCAGATCCTACCCTGTCTGCATCCTTCTCTCTTCTCTACACCAGCACACGTGTGCACATGCAAATGAAACACGTCCACGGGTTAGACTAAAAAGTTATCAGGCTGTGTGAGTACTACAGGCAGAGAATTGGGCTGGGAAGCTCAAGCACCCCCATTAGCTTCCAGCATGGCCACCCTAAGCAGCTCCTGCACTATAAGCAGAGTCAGAGGGAGAACGAGGCTTCACATGCCCGGCTGCTCACTGATGTGTCCTCCAGGACACTGTTTGTGCCTGGCTGCTGGCGGCTTCCAGATCTCCAGTCTGATGAGGAAATGTGTTTACTGTGGGCGGTGCTTCCTGTTTCTTCCCATTGCTTTGTCTAGTGCTCCCAAGGACGGCACTATCCCTGGAGGCTTGGGGGGGGGGACTAGCCCAGACCCACAGCACAGTCAGGAATCTAGCAGCTCTGAGCGCTGCTGCTGAAGGGAGAGGGACGATCTGATGGGAACTGACCAACTTAGAGAACCCGAGAAGCAGCACACAGGCTACACTCTGAAGGAGTAATTACAGAAAGACAGGAGGATAGCATGGGCTTGACGCTGGTGCCTTGGAGTTTGCTACTGACTGACAGTTTGTGTACCCCATTTGTAGAAATCCAAGTACACACTTATCATGCCAGCACTCCGGAGGCTGAGGCCGGAGGACTGTGAGTTAAGACCAGCCTGGGATATATACATAGTAACACTGTCTCAAAAAAAAAAGACACCAGTAATCTTGCTCCCTGCATCTCTCTTTCCATTCTACCTCAGAGGGACACAGGAGAATATGGCTCTCTGAAGGCTAGGAAGGAATCTGCAACAGAAAATCAGTTCTTGCAGGACTTTGATCTTGGGCCCCTACCCTTGAGAAATGTGAGAGAGAAAGGCGTGTTGTTTAAACTGCCTAGATTGATTTGTTATGCAGTAAAGAAACAGGGTCTGGAGCCCAGCCACACACCTCCAGCATGTGTCTGTCAGCCTGCTGTCCTCTGGTGACACTGACTGCTACACATTGCTTGCTTTCCAGGGCTGGCCCTCCCTGCTTTAAAAAAGAAAAAAAAAAAGCAGCTATTGAACCAGCAGCATGGGAACATTTTCAAGGCTCCTCCAAACCCTCGAAGAGCCTTTGGTCTCTGCCTTAGCATTTGGCCCCAGCCCTTCCATGAGGGATAAACCTGGGGATGTGGTCCAGGTCATATGCCCTGGACTCTGCTTCCAGCCAAGGCCTCTGGGAATTTCTCTAAGGCCTTTCTTCCTAGCAACAGGACCTTGCATAGGTATACAGAGGCCCTGACTGCTGAATTCCGCTGTCTTCCCAAGATCCCTACCAGCCCAGTGTGGGAACATACATGGATAATACCTTCATTCAGGGCTCTGAGGCAGGAGGATTGCTTTGAGTTTGATGCCATTCTGGACTACACAGTGAGTTCCAAGCCAGCCAAAGCTACAGGATAAGACGCTGCTGTCAAATGAAGAAAGAAAGAACATTAAGTTAAAGCCTTGTTTAGGGGGCTGGAGAGATGGCTCAGAGGTTAAGAGCACTGACTGCTCTTCCAGAGGTCCTGAGTTCAATTCCCAGCAACCGCATGGTGGCTCACAACCGTCCGTAATGAGATCTGGTGCCCTCTCCTGGCTTGCAGACACACACAGAGGCAGGATAAATAAAATCTTTAAAAAAAAAAAAAGTTAAAGCCTTGTTTATTTCACCAATCAACACAGGCTCCTCCCCAGCAGTCAACACAGGCTCCTCCCCAGCAGTCAACACACACCGCTCCCCAGAAGCTGCTGCCGTTCTCAGGCCAGTCCCACGTCTAGCTTGCCAAGCTCCAGCCGAAGAGGTAAGAGAGGAAGTCTCTAGAGCATGGCTCACACAGAGCAGACTGCCTGCAAATCACCTGCTGTAGAGCACTCAGGAAACAACTGGTCACAGAACCACTGGCACCCTCGGCAGGGTGGCACACACCTTTGGGAGGCAGAGGCAGGCGGATCTCTGTGAGTTCAAGGCCAGCCTGGTCTACAGAGCGAGTGCCAGGACGGCCAGGGCTACACAGAGAAAGCCTGTCTGGAAAACAACAACAAACCCTGTGGAAAGAATACATAGTAGAGGTGCGAGCAGGCGCTTCAGTACAGAAGCGTTATGCATACATCCTGTTGGAAGCCTATGAACATCTAAGTTGCAAACTCCCATCGGTATCTGACGTAGGATCCTAGTCAGGACTTCAAAACAGATCTATGCTTCTAGAGCACAGCTACTGAAATTTTGCAGGGGCAGATGAAGCTTCTCTGTTGTTTTGTTGTTGTTGTTATTGTTGTTGTTTGTTTGTTTTAAGATAACCAACCTGTATGGTATTCACGCCAAATGTAAAGTGTGGGGAGTGATCATTGTTACTTAGAACCTCTTGTAAATATCGCCAGCCTTTTTTAAGAATAGTCCATCCCCTCCCCAGCTTCCTAATGAACAGAACTTGGGCTCACAGGAAATAGCTGATGGCAAAAAGGAAACACTCCCCAATTAGATCACTTAACCCCTCCCTCTGCGACCCTTTAACCTTGCCACCACCTGTTACCTGCTCACCTTCAGTGGCCTGGTTCCTAGGCAACTGCCCCTCCCTCACTGTCCTGCATTCCTCCGCCCCATCCCCCTACCTCATTTCCCCTATATAAGCCTGTACGAAATTCTCATTAAATGCAGCTTGACCAGTCATGTTGTCCTGCTGTCCGTTTCTCTTGTCCCTTGTCCCGCCATTCCAGGTTCCCATGGGCTCGACCCTCGCTGTGCCCTGCTGGCAAGGACACTAAAGCAATTATGCAGTAAGAACTCCACCCAGGCAGCACACCACATACGTAGAGAAGGCGGTATAGAGCCCTGAAGGCAAGGGCATTGTGACAAATGCCCATAACCCTAGAACCTGGGAGGTGGAAGAGGAAGAGCAGGAGTTAAAAGTCATCCTTGGTTACACAGTCAACTTGAGACAAGTCTGGGGATACATGAGACCCTGTCTCAAACAAACAGAACAAAACAAAGGTTGGGGAGAAACTGCTTCCAGTCAAGAAAGTATTTTAGCTGAACACAAATGTGTTACATTTGTTTATGCTGCGTTTGTTTAACAATGTAAGGATGTGTGTTTAATTATGTAAGGATGTGTTGCAGCCTTTTCACCTTGCCTGCCTAAGGCATCTGATTGATCTAATAAAGAGCTGAATGGCCAATAGTTAGGCAGACAACGGATAGGTGGGTTGGCAGGCAGGGAGAATAAGTAGAAGGAGAAATCTAGGCTCAAAAAGGAGGAGAAGAAGAGAAAAGAGACAGAGGAGAAAGAGAGAGACCGGCCCAGGGCAAGAAGCCAGGCAGCCACCAGCCAGCCAGTCATGAAAAGCAGTGAAAGTAAAACAGACAGGAAGGAAGGAAGGAAGGGAGCAAGGAAGGAAGGAAGGAAGAAAGGTAATAAGCCCTGAGACAAAAGGAAGATAAAGAGAAACAGGTTAATTTAAGTTAAAAGAGCTAGGCCAAGCATTTATAACCAATAAGTCTATATCATGATTTGAGAGCTGGTTGGTGGCCCCCTCCCAAGAAAGCCTGATACAAAAGTGCTTGCTTTGCAGGAATAAGAACCTGAGCTGGATCACCAGAACCCAGATTTTTAAAAAGAGAAGCCAGGCACGGAGGCACAAGTTTATGATTCCAGTGCTGGAGAGGTTGGGGTAGGCAGATCCCTAGGGCTTGCTGGCCAGTTCTGCCCTGCCTACTCGGCAAACTCCAGGCCAGTGTGAAGCTTTGCCCCCTCGCAATGGAGACTGTGCCTGGAGAGCAGCACCCAAGTCCTGTACTCCAGGCTTGGATGTGCACATCTGACTAGAGCAGCGAAGGAATGAAGGACAGGAACATAGACACATGCACAGAAAGGCTGGGTTCAGTGGGCTGCGTGCATTCTGATGGAGTGGCACCAGCTGCGCTGGAACCTAGACCCTCAGCAAGGTTATTACCGTGTACTCCACAGAGGAGAGGAGTTAAATATCCGGTAGGAGGTCTACGTAGGTGAGCCATCTCAGGCTGTAAACGTCCAGAAGGGGAAAGACGCAGTTGCTAGTTTTTCATACACTGCCAACATTCACACTCTGACCAGAGGCAAAGCTTTGTCGATTCTGAGCCCCCAGCGCGTGCCGGGGGGGGGGGGGGTTGTTGCGCATTTCCCGTGGATCATGAGGCCCTGTGCATGACAGCAATGCACCGTCTCTCAAGGCTTCATCCATCCTCACACATTCACGTAAGCCTTCCTCGACTCCCTACACCTAAAGCTGCCCTCTGGTCTCCCCAGACACATGCCACAAAAACACACACGTGTACACGTGTGTGTACATTACATACACAGGTGCATATGCACTTGAACACCTAAATATATACAAACGTGTATACACATTTTTTTTTCTAGGCAATGCCAGCATTTGGAGTTTTTATTTGTTTTGTTTTGTTTTTCAAGACAGGGTTTCTCTGTAGCTTTTGGAGGCTGTCCTGGAACTCACAGAGGATCCATCTGCCTCTGCCTCCCAAGTGCTGGGATTAAAGGCATGTTGCCACCATGCCTGTTGGATTTTCTGCTTAATAACCCTGGCTATCCTGGAGCTCACTTTGTAGACCCGGCTGGTCTCAAACTCCCGGAAATGCGCCTACCTACCTCTGCTTGGGCTCTGGAACACACAGTAGAGATGCTGTGACTCTTTTCTTCTGGGATGTCTTCCTGAGCCTGTCTTCTGGCAGAGCCTCATTCTGATGGGGAGACCAGGGCGCTGCCTGTTGGCAGCTGTGCAGAGGAAAACTGCAGAGAAAGAGGGCGCTGGAAGTGAGGCAGGCAAGCCGGAGACTGTGGGGCTCCCACAAGCCCTGACCACACAGCTGAGAAGGCGCTGAATGAAGAGAGAACTGGCTGTGCACTCCCTCACCTGCCCCATGAGGAGCACAGCTACCCCAGCTGGGGACCGGCAGACTCGCAGCACTCAGTAACTGCCACCCATGGCCCCTCCCTCATCTGAAGTGTAAGACGGCTGGGTAAGAGTTGCCACTGACATTTAGGAACAGAAACTAGCTGAGAGCAGGGGATGGAGGCACAGGGCTTTAATCCCAGCACTGGAGAGACAGAGAGTGGTGGATTTCTGCGAGTTAGAGGTCAGCCTGGATTGAGTTTCAGGCCAGCCAAGGCTTCAAAGTGAGAGCCTGTTTCAGAAACAACATTCCCAAAAACAAAACAAGGGAAGGGGAGTAAGCTGAGTGGAGGAGGAGAATGGAGAAATCCCTTCCAGGAGCTCCTGCCATCAGCAGAATGTGAGCACACGCTGGCCAACCACCAAGGACTCCAGGCAGGATCAGAGTGGTCACATGGCCAGCATAGCTAGCATTGTGTAGGCCATGTACAGTATATGGCAGCTTCCCAGAGGACACCTCTCAGCATATCATGGTCCATCCACAGGGAGGAAAGGGGAAGCCAAAGGTGAGAGGGGGCATGGACAGGCTCCAAGGCAGACCCCAGGTCATTTGAAAGGAAAAAAAAAGACTTAAGCTTACTGAAGCTGCAAAAATTCCAAGCCAAAGTGGGGAGCAGAGAGCTCCCTGAAGGATCGCCAAGCTGGAATGCTGAACTGAATCTCATAAGACAAATTTGAATGGGGACAAACTGTGCAAACCCAGTGACCGGAAACCAGAAGGAGCAGATCTGACTCAGCAACTCAAGAAGGGACAACACTGAGATTTGTTCCCAGTGAGTTCCTAAGAAGCCTGTGAGGAACCAAAGATTGAGTGGATGCTGGGAGGCTCCCGCTGGACCTCCAGCTGCCCGCAGTCAACAACCCTGACCTGCTTGCCGATAGCACTGCCCAGAAGCCCAGGCGAGCCAGACTGAAGCTGGCACAGGGACAGCCATCACCCCTACTTCCCAGACCCCACTTCCTGAATGTGAAATCCAGGGGGATGGGAGCAGATTTTAGATAAATCCCACTCTCCAAACTTCCAAACCCACTGATTTGGATACCAAAGGTCACTAAATAATAATATTACTACATAATAAAACTAACAATAAGAACAATGTAGCCGGGCGGTGGTGGCGCACGCCTTTAATCCCAGCACTCGGGAGGCAGAGGCAGGCGGATCTCTGTGAGTTCGAGGCCAGGCTGGACCAACAGCCTCCAAAACAATACAGAGAAACCCTGTCTCGAAAAACCAAAAAAAAAAAAAAAAAAAAAAAAAAAAGAACAATGTAATGAGGGGTTGGAAAGATGGCCCAGCAGGTAAGAGCATTGCTCTTCCAGAGGACCTGGGTTCGATTTTCAACACCCATGTGGCAGCTCACAACTGTCTGTAACTCCAGGTCCAGTGCATCCAACATCCTCACACAGACATGAGCAGGCAAATCACCAATGCTCGTAAAATACAAATAAATAAATAGGAAAAAGAAAAATGCAACGAAGAGGAAATAAGAGCAGAAAGAGCAGGGCTGAGCCAGGCGTTGGTGGCACATGCCTTTAATCCCAGCACTCGGGAGGCAGAAGCAGGCGGCAGATTTCTGTGAGTTCGAGGCCAGCCTGGTCTACAGAGGGAGTTCCAGGACAGCCTCCAAAACAATACAGAGAAACCCTGTCTCGAAACACCAAAACAAAACAAGAAGTGCAGGGCTGAGAGAGAACTCAGCTCTTAAAGGGGACCTGAGCTTGAATCCTAGCACAGCTGCCTGTAACTCCAGCTCCAGGGGGTCTGCTTCTAACCTCTGTGGGCACCAACTCTGCCTGCATTCACAAGTTTGACACACACAATTTTAAAAAACCTTTATAAAAAGAATAGAAAGCACATAGTCATGAGTAGAATATGAAGCAGAGGGAGTATCTCAATGCTCTGGGGAAGTCTGGGTGCCCTTTGAGGCCATTCCTTCCCTACATCAGAGCTCCACGGACTAAGAGCTGAGGGCCACAGTGGACTCCGGCACCCAACCGCGAACGAAAAGGTACTAGAGAAGGCAGTCAGCTCTCCCCCACGCTCCTTCACACAGCCAGACCCCGAGAAAAGCTGCGTGCATTCCCTCTTTACCTTCCTACTCACTTGCCAGACTTGTGAATCGGGAGCCAAACTGCCCCACCCAAGCAGCCTTCCACAGGATGGCTTCCACGTTGGAACTAATAGACCTTCCCGCCTTGTCTCACCTGACTTCCCAGAAGCATTAGACAACACTGCTGCTGCTCCGTAGCCTTGAAATGTCCCTTGTTATGTGGCTTATGCATCATGGTCTCCTAGAGTATCCCACCCTTCCCTGTGGCTTCACCCCTCCGTCTTTCACAGACCTGTCCTAGTTATTTGAGGCACAACGGGCCTCCCATTCATTACCCATTCCTGGCTGGTGTCATCCCCTCAAACGCCTTCTCTTGCCCCTCCGGAAGCTGATGACTCTAACATCTATCTTTACAGCCCGTGCAGTGTGTGCGCTACTCTGAGATTCATAGCAGAAACTCCCACCCCGACGAACACGTCTCCAAGGCCTTGTAGCACATCTAAACTCAACCTGGAATTTCCTCTCTAAATTTGACCTTCCTTTCGTTGAGCTGGTACAACCAGTAACTATTCCACTATTCCTATGGCAGAAACTCCAAGGCCATCCCTGCTCTCAACCTTGCCACCACCCCTAAGCCCACTCCATTTAATACCTCCAGCCACCTCCCAGCCCTGACTGCTTTCCTCACCATCCTCCTTCAAGCGCCCCTCATTGCTCGCTGGGAGGGCTGCCACAACCCCCTTCTTGCACACCTGCCAGCAGCTCTTTTCCCTTCAGAACATTCCACACCCCGCTTCCTAAAGCTCGTCTAACTCAGCATCAGTTCATCGTGGCCGGGGCCTCTACCCTTCTCGAGCACTCATAGGCCCACTCTTCCCACCCAGAGGTCCACCTTCCTACAGCGTGCTCGCCTGTGGCCTCTACTAGAAAACTATGCCCAACATTTGAGTCACTATTTCAACTGTCGCTCCCTCAGGTAAGGCTTCCCCGATCCAATTGTGTCTAAACCACGCTACTGTGGGATGATCCTTCTGTACATCGGGTGAGCGTATGTCACTATGATTGGTTTAATAAACAAGCTGACTGGCCAATAGCTGAGCAGGAGAGTCAGGCAGGAGAGCCACACCGAGGATGATGGGATGCAGAAGGGGAGAGTGAGGAGATTCCAGCCAGCTGCCGAGCAAGCAGGACACGTGAAAAACGAGACAAAAAGCCATGGCAAAGAATAAATACCAATAGGGGTTAATTTAAGTGGAAGGGTTAGCTAATAACAAGCCTGAGCCATCGACCAAGCATTTATACTTCCCATTCAGCCTCTGAGTTGGTTATCTGGGACCAGGTGGTCGGGGCAGGAAACGTTCCACCTTCTGGCATTTATCCCAGGGGTAGCCCAACATTGTCATGTGTTCCTTATGAGCATTCAGTTCATGACTGGCACTGTCTCCAGTTCCTAACACAGTGCCTGCACAGACAGAGGCAAGAGGCCCTGGGACAAAAAGAAATAGGGGTGGTCTTTGCCTTCAAGGTTTTGTTTTTGTTTTTGTTTTTTTGTTTTTTAGGATACAGTTTTTTTGCTAATAAGTCCACCAACTGACTGGACGAGGACCACCTATAAGCTTGGGGGTGATCTCCTTAAAGTGAACATTTTGTAAATGTTAACCACACTTACAAAATACCTTTACAAAAATATCTATACCAGTTTCTGCCCAAAGACATGGGCACCACAACCTAGACTATCCAAGCCCACAGGTCCAAAGTAGCCATCACAGATAATGCCAACTCAAAGACAAGACCAAGCTTATTGTCACGCGCTGGAGGGAAGCCCAGCAGACATAACCTATAAGGTTAGAAGGCATAATGAAGAGAACTCACCCTCAGACCTCCGGCCAGAGTGACAGGGTTACAGCATGGAGTGTCAGAAGTGGGGACAGGCCCCCCATTGTGAGGTCCAGATGGAATACTCAATTCAGACTGAGCCCAGCCCTAGCTGATGTCCTCTTCCTCATCTTTACTTTCTTCCAGAGTCTGCCCACTGGAATCTGGTCTGGAACTGGACTTTACCCTCCTCTTCCTGATCTATCCCATGGAGAGGTTTGAGAGAAGATGACCACAGAGCCAGTGGAGGTCCTGAGGATCAGCCTCCATTGACTGCCAAGATCAGGCCCATGGAGTTCTCTGGAGAGAGCAGTATGAGGAGGGAGCGCCAGGAGGATTCCATTCTCAGTTCTTGAAACCAGTTGAGGAAGACTGTCTTGGGTTCTTGTTTGGAAGCAGAGAAGTGTGGCTACTTGTCTACCTGTGACTGGTTGTCTTCTACCAAGTGGACATCTTCCAGAGGGACACACGTTGGAGCAGATGGGGAGGAATCAGTCACCTACCCAGCCAGATCAGCCATGTCAACCCCGGCAACCATGGAGTAACAGAGGGTGGTGCCAGATCACCATCACGTCATTTTTAGATTCTTGAAAGAATGAAACCTGGGGAGATTCAAGGACCCAAGGAGCAGGAGCCGTGGGGAGCCTGGTGCTTGGATAGAGGAGCCCCTGGGCCAATCACCAGGGATGGAATGTAGCACTTGTGGCCAGAAGAAATTAGGGGACAATGTTCCAGCATCCAAGGAAGGGTTTCCTCAGGGGATGGCTGACAGATGAAACTCAGGCACGCCCTGTATCGAAAGGAAAAGGCACCCTGCCCAGGAAGCCAGAATAGCGAGTATTCGTCAACAAATAGTCAACAAACGCCTGTACCAACTTGCACCCCTTGTGGTGTTCTGAGGACTCCAGGGAGGTACAACACCACCACTGTATATCCGGCGGAAAGCACTGAGGGGCTAATCTTGGAGACACAAGGCACGTGATCTGACACAGGACTCATCTTCCGGGGAAGTCCAGAGTCCGAAACTAGCTTGTAAAGAAGCTTTGCAAAAGAGGCAAACTTGAAATCAAAATTAGCCAAACCTTGCCAGGACATTTCAGGCTGAGGTAAGGCAAGGTACAGGCCTAGAGGTACAGAGAGCTGAGCCTGTTAGAACAGAGGGCAAGGAAGAGGGCACAGTCTCTGACCTCACAATACCCAGGGCCCACTGGGCCAGCCTTGCAGACTCTGATGCCCTTTTCCAGCCCGGGCAAGGCCCGGGGCCCTGGGCAGCCTCCAGGTGCAGTGCCCTCCGTCGGGCCGCACCCTCCCCACTGCCCTGGGGCATGTCTCTACTTACAAGTTACGAGGGCCTTCGGCATCAGATAGAGAGGCTGGTGCGGGAAAATGAGGAACTGAAGAAGCTGGTACGGCTCATTCGGGAGAATCACGAGCTCAAGTCTGCCATCAAGACTCAGGCAGGTGGCCTTGGCTTCAGCGGGTTCACCAGCGGGCTTGGTGAGGCAGCGGCAGGCCCTTCCCAACACCAGGGTAACTATAAGAGGCCTGGGTAGGACAGTGGGGAGGGAAGGGTGAGGCTGTGCTGAGGGAGGCAGAGGCAGTGTGCTGGGGTCTGAGGACACCGGAGGGAGGGCTTAGATCGTAGCCAGCACAGAGGACACTGGCCTCAACCGATGGAGGCAGCATGAATACACAGGACCACGGGATGAAAGGGCAAGTGTAGGCCCCACACCCACTCACCCAACAGGAGCTCTCCGCCTCTCAACCTAACGGCGGCATCGTAGACTGGGAACGGGCCAGCTCTGGGATCCCAGTGTTCTTCCCTACAGAGTCCAATATGCCACCCTGAGCCTCCCTGGCCCTGCTTCTCTTGCTTCAGCCTTTCCCAGCTCTCTCCATGATCTTTCTTTGCATTTCTCTCCAGTTAGAGACAGATAGCCAGAAGGAGACTCCTATCTGGAAGCCAAGGAGAGAACCCAGGACTGAAAGTTGAGACTCAGGATTTCTTAGTCTGTGATGGAAGCCCTGGGGCTGGAGATATCCAGAGCAGGGCGAGAGAGGAGAGCAGGCAAGGAAGTTTCCAGGATTCACAGAAACGCCACTGGACGGGTGACCCATGCTAAGTGGCATTCAGACACCAAGGGATGACAAAGGCCACCAAGCTGAGTACATTAGGAAGGGCTGAAAGAATGGAAAGTCTGAGCAAAGAGTGGTCAGCATTGAAGATGGGGGTGGGGCGGGGAATTATATGAGGGTAACAAACTTACCAGGATGTAGCTACAGATGCCATGGCTGATACACTTCCCAAGGTGTGCACAAGTGAGAAACACTGATAGTTGTTACATCCATCTCCCTCCCTACACAGGCCTTCCTGTCTAGACACTGTGTTCTTTCCGGTCCATGAGTTTCCTTGTGCGCATACAGTCCATCCACCCCTACGGTAACCTGCCCTCTGCCACAGACCTTCATCTCACCGTCCCTGCTTCCTCTGATCAGGCACGAAATCTCTCTCATCTGAGAGGAGGGCTTTACTCTGCCTGTTTAGACCTCTACAGCTTGGCAATGGACGTGTGGAAAGTTATGAGTAACATCCTAAGTACCACCTAAGTGCCTTCTCCACCTCTGCACAGCATTTGGGAATAATAACCCTTTTCTTCATCTCTCTTCCTGGGTTCCCAGGCCACCTTAGTAATCTGTCTGCATCCTGACTCACGTTGATCACGGCATCTCCCAGCTCAGGCTTCAAGGCCTCCCCTCTGCCCTCAGTCAATCCACCTACAGCACTGCTCCAACACCCGACTACAAGTGAAGGCAGCTTCAGAGGATCCTGGAGGCATAGTTAATCCCTGGAGATAGTCTTACCAGAGGGTGGGGATGTAGTGCAGTTGGGAGAGTGCTTGCTTAGCATGCTCAGAGCACTGGGCTTGATCCCTCCCCTTAACTAGGCGCAATTAACACAAGCCAGCAGCAGGATCATCAGAAGTTAAGTCATTGGTAGCTCACAGGGAGGTCAAGGCCAGCCTGGGTTACACAAGACACTGTCTCAAAAGGGAAATTCTGGTGTAGAACTCAGACTTTCACACTAAGAGGCTGGAGTCCTTTGGACATTACTCAATTCCCTTGTCTTCTTCCCTAGCTCCTTACCCACTGGGCTCCTTACCATCAAGCCTCGCTGTAGTGGACACTCTTCATGTCTCTAGTATGGTCATAAGCACGCAAGTGCCTCCAGCTTTAAATGTCATGTCATTAATGACTGAGATAGCAGACAGAGTGACAAAAATAATCTGCATAGAGGAGGTAAAAAGTTCCATAGTCTACGAAGCTGGATTCTGGCTTCCTACCTCAAGCCTTAGATTTTATTCCTTTCTAAATTCATTTTTAAATATGTTTTTGTGTATGGCTTTGTATGTGAGGGCAAGCGTGCACACACACACGTGTGGACGTCGGAGACAACCGCAGGCAGGCATGGGTTCTTATTCATCTTGTTTGAGTCAGGGCACCTCCTATTTCTGCCACTGTACTGTAGACTCTGGGCTTCCTGACCCATGAGCTTATGTGGGATTCTCTAGGTTCTGCCTCTGCTCTCATCATGGGAATCTTCATTTAATAGACACGTGTCCACCATGTTCAGCCTTTACACAGGTTCTGGTGACCCAAGTTGGGTCTTCATGCTTGTATTAAGTGCTTTTATACATGGAGCCATCTCTCTGGCCCTTGTGATTTTGAGACAGAATCTCACTATATAGCCTAGACTGGTCTTGAACTCAATATATACCCCAGGTTGGCCTCACAGTAGTTAGCTCCATACTTCAGCCTCTCAAGTGCTGGTATTACAGGTGCATGCTACACATCTGGCTTTTAGATTTAAATCTTAAATCTGTGGGTGGTGTTTTTCAGTCACCACAGAGGCTGTTTTAATCTACTTCTGCGTTAGCCGGCTAATGTGGTTCCATCGCTGGCCTGCTTCTCTGGCAGAGACCAGGCCACTCAGGCTGTGGCCTGGCAGGAATTCTATTCCCATCGACATCAGCTTTGCCACTGCTGCCAAATATAGCTTTTAATTAAATATCTGTCTTTCTATTTATCAATAAGACTTGGGAGCCAAAGGCTGGGGTGAAAACCTGCTAGGCTGAATAGCAACTAGTTGACCTTCTTTCTTTGCTGGTGTCTCCAAAAAAATAGTGTCATTTTGCTCCACCACTGTACTAAGAGGCTGTAGTCCCTCCCTACCACTTCCTGTGCCTCTCTATAGTCTTACCCCATGACTATGATTCCTGTCAACTAGCTGCTAACTGGGCCTCCTGACCCAAGGTTGATTTTATTTAATTAACCCAAAAGCAAACTTGGGGTTCATGGTGTAATCAAATATCCCACAACACTCGAGGCTGGAAAAAAAATGGCCCAAGAGCTGAGGGCATTGTTGCAGAGGACCTGTGTCCAATTCCCAGACCCCCCATGGCGGCTAACAACTGTTTGAACTCCAGTCCCCCCAAAACTCTTTTCTGGCATCCTCAGGCACCAGGCATGCACAGACATATGGGCAGGAAAAACATCCACACACATAAAAAAAAAAGCTTTGGACTATTTCAGATCTTTAAGGAGGGGTTTAAGCAGCTGTGGATGGAGACAGAGAGCAACATCCTAGGAGACAGTACAGTGTGGATAAAGACGTGATCCTAGTGACACATGAGCGGGCACTAGCTGAACGTGACGTGTGTGTGTGTGTGTGTGTGTGTGTGTGGTACGTAAGCCTGTGAGGTAACGTGCAAGGCGTCTGTGTGCAATAGATGCACAAGGAGTACAAAGTTCCGTGCATGGATGCTTTGAGGGTGTTTTCGCATGGCTGTTAGAGCACGCGAGTTGCTGTGCTCTGTGTGAATGTATGTGGTATGCAAGTCTGAGTGTAGGCTACGTCTCTGATGGTGTATGTTGTTACTTGTGAATGCCCATGCTAGGGGCGGTGAGAAGTGGACAATCAGCTAGAGAGACCAGTAGAGGTCAGATCACAACTGATTCTGAATATTAAATGACGTGCAAAGGACCTGCTCCTAAAAGCAATGAGTAGACACTTGGGATTTCTAACAGGAAGTAACCACATCTGTGCCCAGAACAATCATTGCAGCTGCTGGAGAAGTACAACTGAGGCAGGGAGATGGCTTACAAAGATGCTTTCAGCTACTCAGATGGGAAACCACAGCACTGACTGCAAGTGGACAGGAGTCTGTAGGCTTCAATGGACGAAGCCGTTTCCTCTGCCGAGCCGGAAGCCAAACTCCAGGAAAAAGAGCGAGACTTCCTGTGCGCTGTCTTTTATGCCTTTCCCCCCGTAACGCCCCCTAGCCATGCCCAAAAGTGGGCCTGGCTAGTGACGTAGTTCCGCCTACGTACGTATACGTCTTTACATCCAGCCGTATACGTCTTTAGTCCTGCCTAAAGTGGGTGTGGTTAGCGGTGTGGTAAACCACCCTTTTATTACCTCATCTGTATGCGCCTCTAATAAGTCACATGTTTAATGGCGGCATTAGACTTCCTCCTACAATTCCCCTTTTAGTCTAAAAAGGACAACTAACTTGTGTCCATGAACAAAATGTATCAAACATCTATTCTATCTACCTAAACTTATCTGAAAGAAATACCCAAATATGAACATCTCCTTCCAATCCCAACTCTAAAATAATTGAAAACTAACACTAACAGGTGTAAACTATCTTATAATATCAATAGTAGGGAGAGGGGGCGTGGAATTCTCAAAACTACTTCCTGCTGAGATGGGACGATGATAATCTCATGGGGACCTGTGAAAAGAAAATGTTAGTATAACAAAATCTCAGTAGATCAGACAGTCTCAGTATGGCAGGAGATGCTTGATTATAGTTCCTGACTGGGGTTCTAGTGTTGATTGAAGCTCTTATCTTGAAGCTCTGGTCAGATTGTAGAAGATGTGCTGTTTCAGTTTCTTGGTCTGGAGTTGTGTAGAGTGATGTAGTTTCAAGCCAGTTTCAGGATAGTGCTTGTCAGGTGGAGTCAATGATGTGGGGCAGTTCAGATGCCTCCAGTCGAATCAGGTGAGGTCAAGGAAGTGGATCTTCATTCTCTTTCAGAAGCAGTTGAAGATTGCTGTCATGAAATCCCTTGTTCTCTGGAAAACTCCAACATTAATGTTAACAAAGAAATATTTTAACTTTCATATGTATGCATACAAAAGAGGTGACAATAGGGAAGATGGGAAACCTGGAGGAAATTAGACTGTTCAGAAAAAGAAATCCACAGATAACAGTCCCTCATTTTATTTCTTCTGTCTTATATCAATGGCTCTTTGATATAATACAGAAATTCTGAATTGTATTTAAATAATATGCTTGGGTTTAGAGTAGGAGAGCCAATCCAACTCCAAAGCCAGCTTCAGTTAAATGAATGGGGACTGAGGTATGTGAAGAAATAAAGATAAAAGGGTACTATGAAAAAACAATATAGAGAGATTTAGACTTTGATACCACACAGTGAGTTACTGTTTGTTTGATGGTCCCCAG